TGTGTTAACAGACTTTCAAAACTCCAGAGTGTGTATTAAGGGGGAGGCCACCCTTAACGTACAGTATAAGGATTTTGAGGGTCCACTAGACCTATTAGTAGTAGGGGGTGAACGAACGAGTCTTATAGGACTTGATTGGTTTGAGGCCTTGGGAATACACGTCACAGGGCTCAACAGCCTACAAACACTCGACCTATAGGAAGTCTGCAAAGAATTTGCAGATGTTTTCAGCCCCCAGCTGGGCACATTCAAAGGACCCCGTGTCCTTAAAACTAGACCCCACTGTCACTCCCATTAGAATTAAAGCAAGAAGGGTCCCTTTTGCTTTAAAGAGTAAAATTGACACTGAGTTGGATAAACTGATCCAACAAGGAATTCTAGAACCTGTTGACTCCAGTCCCTGGGAGACCCCCATTGTCACGCCTCTCAAGGCAAATGGGGACATTCGCATCTGTGCTGATTACAAATGCACCCTGAATAAGGCATTGCAGCAACATGCCTATCCTGTTCCTGTGGTCAGTCATAGTCTGGCCTCCCTCAAGGGGGGGCGTGTTTTTGCAAAGCTTGACCTAGCTCAAGCATATCAACAGCTGCCTGTTGATGATGATGCTGCTATAGCTCAGACCATTGTGACCCACAGAGGGGCCTTCAAGGTAAAGAGGCTACAATTTGGAGTAAATGTCGCTCCTGGGATTTTCCAAAGCGTAATGGAAAACACACTACGGGGTATACCAGGGGTTTGCCCCTACTTTGATGATGTCTTAATTGCAGGAGACTCCACAAACAATTTAGCTGAAAGGCTGAGGGCTGTCCTGTCAAGGTTCAGGAAAACAGGCCTCAAACTTAAAAAGGACAAATGAAAAATTGGGGTGCCTTCTACTGAATTTCTGGGGTTCAAAATTGATGCTGCTGGGATTCACCCTGCTGAATCCAAACTAAAAGCCATTATGCAAGCCCCTAGGCCGAAGTCTAAGGCCGAACTACAGGCTTTTCTGGGCCTTCTGAACTTCTACAATTCTTTTCTTCCACATAAAGCTAGTGTAGCTGAGCCTCTTCACAGGCTATTAGATAAACAGGCAGTGTGGCAGTGGTCACAAACACATGAGGCAAGTTTCAATGAGGTCAAGGCCTTACTCACTTCTAACAGTGTACTCGCACATTTCAATGAATCCCTTCCTGTGTGCATCGCTTGTGATGCTTCTCCTTATGGGGTAGGAGCTGTACTGAGCCACCTCAGGTCTGATGGAACTCAGGTTCCTGTTGCATATTACTCCAGAACATTGTCTTCTGCTGAGCGTAACTATGCTCAAATAGATAGGGAGGCCTTAGCTGTTGTTGCTGGGATTAAAAAATTCCATGATTTTTTATATGGTAGGCATTTCACAGTCTTCACTGACCATAAGCCTTTGCTGGGACTGTTTACCACACGTAAGCAAACCCCCCAAATCATCTCTCCCAGGATGCTCAGGTGGTCTATCTTTTTGTCTGCATATGATTTTTCCCTACTTCACAAGCCTGGGAAGGAAATGGGCCATGCTGATGGCCTCAGTAGATTACCCCTGCCGGTAATAGAAGCTGACCCCGCACCAGCTATCAATCTTCTTTCTATCCAAGCCTTGCCCGAGTCCCCTCTGTATGCCAGGGATGTAGCCGCTGAATCGGGCACAGATCACACACTTTCACGTGTCCTTTCTTGGGTTTTGTCTGGATGGCCTGAGCACTGTCCTAGTCCTGAGTTTCAGAGTTTCTGGTCTAAAAGGAACGAGTTGTCCACCTCTCAGGGTTGTCTGCTTTGGGGAAGCAGAGTTGTCATTCCCACCTCAATGAGGACTAGGGTCCTAGGTTCCCTCCACGAGAGTCATCCTGGCATTGTACGCATGAAGGCTCTTGCACGCAGCCACTTGTGGTGGCCAGGTGTAGACAAAGACATAGAAGCTAAGGTGCATGCTTGCCACCTTTGTCAACGCTCACGCTCTGAAATGCCCCAAGCTCCTGTGCATAGATGGGAGGAAACACAGTCTCCATGGTCTAGGGTGCACATTGACTACGCTGGGCCCTTTCAGGGTCAATTCTTCTTGGTCCTCGTTGACAGCCATTCAAAATGGCTTGAGGTTGTACCTGTCTCATCCACCACCACTGCAAAGACTATTCAGGTACTGAGGGGGATTTTTGCTGCACACGGGCTCCCAGACGTCATTGTGTCGGACAACGGCCCTCAATTCACTTCCTCCGAATTCCAAGCTTTCTTGCAGGCTAACATGATTCGTCATGCCACCTCTGCACCCTTCCACCCGTCCACCACCGGTATGGCTGAACGCATGGTGCGCATCACCAAGGACGCCTTGAAGAAACTCACCTACGGAGACTGGCATCACAGGTTGGCTGACTTCCTCCTTTCTTATCGCACCATACCGTCCACTTTTACAGGGAGAAGCCCAGCTAAACTTCGTTGGGGGCGCAAACTGACTACCAAGCTTGACTGGTTGCATCCGGACAGACTGCCTCCTTCTGTTTCACACCCCAGGGCACCTAGGCAACTACTTGTGGGTGCCCCGGTTTGGACTCGTAATTACGGGCCTGGTCATACATGGGTCCCCGCTTCTATATCCAGGGTCACGGGTCCTCTGTCTTACGAGGTGTCCCTGGACAACGGTCGTGTCCTGTGGCGGCACATTGACCAACTTCGCCCTCGACGGGACTTTTCCGCTGAGACTCCTGGGTCTTTTCCAGGGGGGGAGGGGGAAACCTTTGGGCAAAGGGAGGGGCATGGAATGATGCCCATTATCAATGGGGAAGCCACAATCAGCCCATCTCAAGATTCCGCGAGTGCTCCAAAAAGGAATTCAAGGATCCCAACTAGATACAAGGCATCAACGCCTACTCCAGCCAGGGAGTTACCCCGGGGGCATAATCACTACTCACCCGCATCACTCTGTATTCCAGTCAGGGAGAATACCCGGGAGCATCCCAATAAACCATTCCCCACAAGAGAGCTGGCACACACTCCTTCTAGTTGGCCCGACACTACCCCTGTCCCTAGAAGGGGGCAAACACACAGGGAGGTGGTCGAGGAACCAAATTCCGACTACAACACCTCTGACTTCACTCAGGGGACAACTGAGTTTTGGGATAGTACTGAAACCCACACAAGCCCGGACACAGAACGGGATTCAGGGGACAGATAGCCTCCTGACAGGTCTTGGACGGACCTAGGAGGTTCTACAGAAACGCCCAACAGTGACAGTCACTTAGAAGGGCCAGAGAGCCTACAGCTAGGCGGGACAACCAGGTCACACAGTGAAAGAAGCCCTGGCCTGACGAGCCCGGTGGGCAAGCAAGCAGGCCAGGCATTGGAGCACAGTCCTTGGGAACCACCAAGGCAAAACAAGGGGGACAGGCATGCATCACCCCTCAGTCAAAGAGTACTTGGCAAGCACCCTGAACTTAGGAAGTCACAGAGAGCAAGGAAATCTCCTAGGTATTTGGAGGATTTTGTAACCCTCTTGGCAAAACAGAGCTAGTAGAAAAGTAGAGCACTGAGGCTGATGGAAAACCAGGAATACCTGGTATTGGGGAGCATGGCACTACAGCACAGAAATGAGTTATGTGTTATTATGGTATGAGGAATAGTTTTAGCCTGGGGGGAAGGGGTGTTATGTCCTGAGCCTGTGCAAGCAGGCTCGGGGCATTGCAAATGGTCCCGGCAGGTGCAGGCTGCCCGGGACCAGACAGGCTGTCGCCAGTACTTGTGCACATGCGCAAGTGCTGGCGCACCAAAAGTAGCAGATTTACCCGGGGATGGCCTATATAAGAGGCCAGAAGTTTTGGGCGTTGTCGGCGTCTTCTGACTGTAAGCTGAACCAAAGAATAAAGAAGTTTCCTGAGAACTACAACTGCTTCTCGTGTCTTGCCATTTCGCGAAGGACGCAACAGTTTAGATTTGTAGGAGAATGGTAAGAAGTAACAAAGAAGTAATTGAATAATTTGTTGGAGACAAAATAATGGAAAATGTGAATGAAGTGAAACCAGTACATGACAAAAAAGCCTGTCTTATACCATGACGTTCTAATGATTCATCTAGCTAGTTTTATCCAGCAAATGCTAGGGCTTGAGTAAGCCAAACATACTTAATCTTTATTGACTCATATCCTTAGATAGGTTGTGCTATGTGACATTCCAAATGGAATGGGATTGCTATCACTAAAACAAAACAAAAACAAAAATCCTTTAATTTGCATTTAAAACAAGTGGCCTTTAATTCAATCCTTGGTATCTGTATAGAATCCTCCCAGTTCAAGAAAAATCTCCTAAGACTGGGTAAAATTCCTATGTGTAATGTGATAATAAACCATTATTACTCAATCAATGAAGATGAGAGTTATAAGCTGTGTGGTGGTCTAGAGGTAGAGCTCTTGCCTTATAATCAGGAAGCTGTGAGTTGGATCCTAGGTAGGGGCAGATATTTGTCTCTCTGGGCGCAAAGAGAAAATATATGCTGTGAGTTCCTCATAGGCATCAGGAAGGGCATCCTGTCAGTAAATGCTCAGCTCCATTCAGTTGCTCCAACTCTACCCCTATGCAAGGAATTATAGGATTGTTAAAAGAAAAAAAATGAATAGGAGGGACAAACCATGTGAAAAAGGGCAAAAATTAAATCTATTATCCAAGTACAACATATAAGAATAGAATAAATTACTTTTAAAAATAACTATTAATAAAACATGATGGATATAAAAAGCCTCATCCACAAGAATATAAGAAAACAATCAATGTCTAATTAAGGATGTCTGAAGATGGTAAATTGACAGGAAATCAGTCAGTGAAAATACATTTGAATTGTTTTGCAAAATAGTTGGATAATTTTTAATTCAAGGATTTATCATCATCAAATTGTGTGGATACACTATTCACTTTTTGCTCTAGCAGATATAGTGTAATTATTATAAATAGCCTGTGACTAGTAATGGTTCTGAATAATCATTAATTTTCTTTATTCTTAGGATTCATTTCATTTTCAGCTATGCCAGCATTAGCTGAAAAAATAAAAATCTTTTTTGTATTTGGTCCAATATATTTGGTGAATCATGTCAAACCATGGTATAAGATGATAATTGACATGAATCAGGATATTATAAAGGTATGTGATTGATGCTGTGGTTTTCAAAGAATGAATATGCTAATTACTTTATTGCTAAGATCTTCTTTAAAAGACAGGAACAAATCTTATAACAAATGGAATTGCCTTCAGTAGACCACTGCAGGCCACTTTAGCTGACTGTGTTCAGCAGGTCAGCGGTTCAAATCTCACCTGCTCAAGGTTGACTCAGCCTTCCATCCTTCTGGGGTAGGTAAAATGAGGACCCAGATTGTTGGGGGCAATGTAAATATATATATACATTGCTTACTAGTGTACACCGCTTAGAGAGTGCTTGCACTTAAAGCGGTATATAAGTCTCATAAATAAATAAATAAATAAATAAATAAATAAATAAATCACACTTAACTTTGTTTTGGATTATTGCCAACAGGTTTATAATATTGTAAATATTTACAAATATGCTGGGAATTCTGCCAAAGGAAGCTGAAGTAAAAAAAAAAAAAAGGTGCTGGAACTCACACATGTCATACAACCCACCTTGCCTGCCCTACAAGTTTCCATCCAAAAAAGGTGCCAGAACTCCGTTCTGGGTGTTCTATGACAAAAAAAGCCCTGCTTTTAAGTTACTCTTCTCTTGGCAACAGACAGCAAGTTAGGAAGGCTTTTATATCATCGTCATCATCATCATCATCATCAGTCTTTGCATAGTCAGCCAGATGTTCAGACTGGGTTTGGCATTTTTGTCTACCTATTGAGTCCTTAGCAAAGACTTGGGATAGGCAGATCTGGATGTTTGACACGTTACAGATATCATAGCAAGATGGAAGCTATTCACAGTAAAGCTGCCTTTTGCAATTGACTGATGGTGAATTTGTCCATTCCAATGATGTTCAAGTGATGTTCCAGTTGTTTTGGGATTGCACTATTGGTACTACCCTTGCTTGCCTTTGCCACAGTCGTTCTATTTGTGCATCTTTGTATATTGTTATCTTCTCCAGTTCTTTCTCTTCTGTTCTGCTGTTTCCAGACACTGCCCTGTCTGCTCTCCAGAAGTTTTTGTATTTCCAATCGACAATTGTTAAGTCTAGGGTGTTATATGGTAGAAGCCTATCTGTTTCAGTTTTAAAGTCCCAGATCAATTTAACTTCTTCATTTTCTATGATTTTCTCTGTTTTATGGTCCCACCAGTTCTTGCTTGCAGGCAAATGATATTTCTTGCAGCTCTTCCAATGTACCATTGTTGCTACTTTGTCATGCTGCTACTTTTGGTCAGTCTGGGTGATCTTCTTGCAGCAGTTAACCAGGTGGTCCACTGTTTCTTTGCATAGGTGGCACTTACTGTCTGTTGCTGTCTTCTCAATTCTGGCTTTGTATGCATTTGTCCTAAGGTTTGGCCTTTTGCAGCCAGAATTAGTCTTTAGTCTCTTTCTTCAACTTTCCTGCTCTTAGCCATTGCCAGGTCTTGTTATTATCTGCTTTCCCTGCTTTTTTTTTTAAATGTACTGGCCATGTAGTGCTTGTAGGCCAGTTTGGTCTTTCCAGTAGTTAATAAGCCTTCCTGATATACTAGTGCATCAGTGCACCTTTAGCATGTCCTTCAGATATTTTTCCAAAGCCATTTCTTCTTCTTCAACCATCTGATGTACTTGCCACAATCCATGCCCACCTATTTGCCTTGGTAGGTAGAGTCTGTCAATGTGGATGAAGGGCATGATTCATTGTCATTATTTTTCTGGTCTTCCTATCCATTTCTTTTAGTTCTTCTTGAATTCAGTCCACTATTTCAGCTGTGTATCTAATGACTGGTATTGCCCAGGTGTTGATTGCCTTGATGGTATTTCCTTGATTGAGTTTGGACTTTAAGATCTTCTTCACTCTCTTGATATATTCATCTCTAATCTTTTTCTTGACTTCAGTGTGCTTGATGTCAGCTTAAAGGATACCCAAGTATTTATAGTAATCATCCTCATCCAGACTCTTAATGTTATTTTAGTGGGGCTATTTTTCCTTCTTTGATAGTGAGTGTGGCACATTTGTCTACTGCAAATTCCATTGCAATATCTTGGCTATATATACGGACAATGTTGAGCAGTAATTCTACTTCAGATAGCGTTTTTCCATACAGTTACAGATCATCCATGTAAAAGAGGTGGGATAGTCTGACAGATGTTTTTGATGTTTGATAGCCATGGCCTGAGTTATTCAGTATTGTTGACAGAGGAAACAGTGCAATGACAAATAGTAGTGGTGATAGTGAATCTCTTTGAAATATTCCTCTCTTGATATTAACCTCTCCCAATCTCTCAGCATTGACCTGCAACTGTGTCTTCCATTGTGCCATCGATCTTTGCACAAAATTTCTGATGTTCCTACTGACGCCTATTATTTCTAGGCACTTGATTATCCAGTCATGTGGCAGAGAATTGAATGCTTTTTTGTAGTCAATCCATGCTACATTTAGGTTTATCTTCCTTCTCTTGCAGTTTTCCAAAAGCATTTTGTCAATTAGGAGCTGATCTTGTTCCTGCTCAGGTGGAAAGAGATTGTTTTCTTTTTAAAAGTATTTTATTAATTTTCTATTATTACAATTCGTTAGTGCTTAATGAGCAACATGTTGTCTGGGTTGATTTTTTGCTTAGTAATAAAAGTTAAGTTCTTACTTTCTGTCTTGTTTTTCCAGCCATTGATCAAATAAGTTCCATGTTTGAAAGTATTCTGTGTCTTCTTTTTCTTTGATTCTCAATGTAAGTCTATCCATTTCACCTCAATCCAGTATTTTCTTGATTATTGCTTCATCCAATGGTGTTTTCTTATTTATACAATCCTTGCTGCTATTAATACATGTAATGTTAAATATTAACATTTTGTTTATCATTTTTTTTCTGGAATTATGCCTAATAAAAAGATTTTAGGTTTAAAATCTACATGTTTCCCTATCATCTTTTCTAACCAAGTATGTATTTTTGTCCAATTTTTTTTTTTTTGCTTTAACACATGTCTACCACAGGGTGATAATATGTACCAGGATTTTGATTACATTTTCAACATTTACTAGATATACGTTAAAACATTTTTGCTAATCTAACAGGTGGAAGATGTCATCTGTAGAACATTTTATATAGGTTTTCTTTATACGAATTTACCATTGTCAATTTATAGTTTCTTTCTCAAAGGTTTTGCTATTTCTCTAATTCTATACTATATCCAAAAAGTTTTGCCCATATTATCATTGTTTCTTCCATTTTCAGATTCGGTAAAAAATTATACAATTTTTAAATCAGTTTTTCATCAGAAGTCAACAACATGTAATCAAACATTGTCTGGTTTTTATAAAAAACGTATATTTTAACATCTTTATCATACTTCAGTTGCATTTGCAGTCAGGGCCACCATGATAAGTCAATACCCTGATCTTTTAACTCTTGTTTAGATTTTAATTTCCCATCTGCATTCAGAATATCCTTATATGTTAGAATTTTTTCAAATTTAATTAAATTTGAGTGAACGAATGCTTCCATCGTTCATAGCCGTCCTGGGTTTTTCGTATAGATTTTTAGTTTTATCTTTTCCCATACAAATAATAATGTGTTTCTTATATAGTGGTTTTGGAAATATCTATGGGTTTTATTCTTTTCATACCATAAAAATGAATGCCATCCAAATTGTAAGTCATGTCCTTCTAAATATAACAATCTTTTGTTTCTGAGGGTTATCCATTCTTTTAACCATGTTAAAGCGCGTGCTTGGTAGTGTAGGACCCAATCTAGTAGTCCAAATCCTTCATTTTCTTTAGCTTCTTGTAGCATTTTCAGTTTAATTTTGGCTTTCCTTCCTTGCCAAATAAAATTTAAAATCAGTGTATTCAAACCATCAAGAAACTTTTTCTCTATTTTTATAGGTACTATTTGAAATAAAAAAAGGAGTTTTGGTAAAATATTCATTTTCACAGTAGCTATTCTTTCTAACACTGATAGTTGTGAGTTTTTCCATTTTTCCATTTTTATTTGATTTAATAATTTTATACAATTATCTTCTTTTATCATTGCGCATCTTGCTATTAAGTATATTTCCAAATATTTAACTTTCTTAATTATTTGTAAGTTTATTTTTTCTAACAGTTGGGTTTTTTTTTTTTTTTTGCTTATCTGTAAGATTTTAAACTATAACTTTAGTTTTTTCTCTGTTTATTTTCAAGCCTACTATTTCTCCAAATTCTTCTATCCTTTTCAGTAGTTTAGAAGTTGTCTCCAGCAGTTCTTCTGAAAGGAATACAGGCCATCTGCAAATGCTTGTAGTTTATACAGTAGTGGGATTCAAATACCTGAACAACTGGTTCTATTATGTGATGCGGGCTTGGGCTTCTGATGCCTAGAACGGACTTCCGGAAGTGCTATCTATGCATTTCCAGTGGGCCGTTCTAGGCCTGGGAGGCCTCCTCCAGGCCTCTGTTGCCTAGAACAGACTTCCAGAAGTGGTATCCATACACTTCCAGTGGGCCATTCTAGGCCTGGGAGGCCTCCAAGGCCTAGACTGGACTTCCAGAAGCCAGCTGGTTCTCCGAATTCAGGTAAATTTAGCTACTGGTTCTCCCAAACTGGTGTGAGCTGACTGAATCCCACCACTGAGTTTATAGCTTTTATCTTTTATCTCTGTTTCTTTAATTTCCAGATCTTGTCTGATATTTCTGTTGAGAACTTCCAAAGTTAGTATAAATAGCAGTGGGGATAGTGGGCATCTTTGTCTTGTGCCTTTCTTTATACTAAAGTTCTCTGTATAGTCCCCATTGACAATTACTTTTGCTGTTTGTTTATCATACATTGTCTTAATGGTCTTTATAACTTTTCTCCAAAGTCCATACATTTTATTGTTGTATCATAAATTGCCAACTTACATTGTCAAAAGCTTTTTGAGCATCTAAGAAAATTAGTGCCATTTGTTTTCCTGGGTGCATTTCATAGTATTCCAATGTATCTAAAATAATCCTTAAGCTATTTTTTATTTGTCTTTTTGGTAAAAATCCATTTGGATCTGGATGAATA